AGCTCCAGTGTTCCAGAGGGATCTCTGAGGGGGAGCTCCAGTGTTCCAGAGGGATCTCTGAGGGGGAGCTCTCTAGTGTTCTAGAGGGATCTCTGAGGGGGAACTCCAGTGTTCCAGAGGGATCTCTGAGGGGGAGCTCTAGTGTTCTAGAGGGATCTCTGAGGGGGAGCTCTAGTGTTCTAGAGGGATCTCTGAGGGGGAGCTCTAGTGTTCTAGAGGGATCTCTGAGGGGGGAGCTCTAGTGTTCTAGAGGGATCTCTGAGGGGGAGCTCTAGAGTTCTAGAGGGATCTCTGATGGGGAGCTCCAGTGTTCCAGAGGGATCTCTGAGGGGGAGCTCCACTGCTCTAGATGTATCTCTGAGGAACCCTGTGGTGCAGTGGGTAAGCTCTCGGCTGCTAACTGTAAGGTTGTGGTTTGAACCTAGCAGCTGCTCCAGGAGAGAGAGACGTGGCAGTTTACTGAAAACCTTAGAATCTCTGTGGGACAGTTGTGCCCTGTCTCACAGCATCTCTGGAGTTGGAATTGACACAATGGCAGTGAGCTTTATAAAGGGACCTCTTGTCCAGAACAGCTCTCTGTAGGTGAAGTCTGCCCAGCACATGTTTTCTTTTGGACTATATAGTAGAAAAACCATGAACCCACACTTAACCTCCACTCTAGGTTTGCCATACAAAGCTTCCCATTCATTGGTTTTTTTGACAAGTGTTGACAGGTTGTTCACATTGGTCAGCCTCCCCATGTAGCAGCAACCAGCTAGAGCCCAGTGGCAGAGTCCCCTTTGGGAGGGCCCTGCAACTCTGTTCCTACTTCTTGGGGCCTTACCAGCCTGTGTGGCCTGGCCTGGCCCCTATGGGCATTTCTGGTTCCCTGTCAGCATTTGTTCACAAAGGGCAAAATGGGGTCAAAGGCCCCTGCCTGGCGACCCGGCCAGCTAAGTAGCAGAGGCCTTGGTAACATGTGGAACCCCCCTATCCCTGCCTGGGATACGTTACTATGGTGAAGTCTCGTGACCCAGAACTGGGAGCCTGAATGTCCTGACCCCAAAGTGGCTGAGTGTGGGGCTTCCCAGGAGGGCTGTGCTAGGAGCTGAACCCTGGTCACTGTCCCGTCTCCTCCCTGTAGGCGCAGCCCAGGTGATGTGGTTTGAAAAGCTGTATGCCGGCCTGCAGTGCGTGGAGAAGTACCTCATCTACCCAGCCGTGGTGCTCAACGCCCTCACAGTGGACGCCCACACAGTTGTCAGCCACCCAGACAAGTTCTGCCTTTAGTGAGAACGCTCCCTGAGGCTCACTGAGACACTGCCTAGGGTTACCCAGACAGCTATAACAGGACCCTGGGGAGGGCCAGAGATGGGGAGTCACTGGCCTGAGAGCTGGGGCCAGAGCAGTTAAGAGGTGGGGTACCCCCAGACTCCCTACCTTCCACATCCGGGCTCCTAACATCTGACCTTCGCCCTAGCTGTCGGGCATTGCTGATGACCGTGGCTGGGCTGAAGCTGCTGCGCTCGGCCTTCTGCTGCCCGCCCCAGCAGTACCTGACCTTGGCCTTCACCGTGTTGCTTTTCCACTTTGATTACCCACGCCTCTCCCAGGGCTTTCTGCTCGATTACTTCCTCATGTCCCTGCTCTGCAGCAAGGTGAGCAGGGGCTGTGAGACCCAGCGCCAGGAACGGAGCTCTTCTGCCCCCGTGTGGTGGGGGAAACCCATGCCAGGCCCTACATCTGCTCCTTGAGGAGTGGACAACCTCCATTCTCAGAGGATATGGCAGCTTAAAGCAGCTCAGAGACCTGCCTCAGGGTCCCAGGGATTTATTGCCCTGACTGCCCTTCCTTGTCAGCTTGTAGAACAATCAGGACAGGCCTTGTCCACTGGACACCAGCCTCGGAGCTTCACCCCTGCCATCATGGCCCTGGGTGACATTCGAGGGCCCTGCCCATCTGCAGGCTGATCAGGGTCTAGGGGCCACTTTGGACACTTCCGAGGCAGTGGTGCCGGGGACCCAGGTGCAGGCCAGACCTATTGCTCACTCATGGGCTTCCTCCTTTCACTCTGCCTGACCCTGGAGGTAGAGCCCCGACTGCCCTCTAGGACAGGATCTGTGACTCTCTTCCCTTACTGAGCTGCATGGCCCAGGGAACCATTTATCATCCCTACTTTCCCTAGGGAGTCCTGGTGGCGCTGTGGGTTTGACATTAAGACTGCTAACCAACAGGTGTTTCACTGGGAAAAGATAAGGTGGTCAGCTCCCATAAGTAGGGTCACTGTGAGTCAGAATTGACTCAATGGCAGTGGGTTTAGGTTTTAGATCTCCCCTAAGCCTCCACTTAACTGCCTGTGAAATGGGACAGTAGGACCTTCCTAGGGCTGTGGTGAGAATTAAGTGGCTAGTGGCAAAGAGAGGGTTGCTCAGTCTGGAATGATTAATGGTGTTTGGTGCCTGGAGCCTAGAGACAAAAAGGGCTGGATGTGCTCTTGAGCTTGACCCCAGTGTGGGCAGCCAGTTGGTATCCCAGGAGCAGGCTCTGTGTGGTCCCTAAGGCTCTGAATGGGCCTGACATCAGGGAGCTTGGCAGAACCCACCTCCATGAGCAACCCTGGTGTCTTTTATCTCCCCCACCTCCCCAGCTGTGGGACCTGCTATACAAGTTGCGTTTCGTGCTGACCTACATCGCACCCTGGCAGATCACCTGGGGCTCGGCCTTCCATGCTTTTGCCCAGCCTTTCGCTGTGCCACGTACCCAGCCCACCCCTGCTGTCTGGGATGTAGGGAGGTCTAGGGTTTAGGGAGGGACGGCTGGATGGGGGCCGGGGTCAAAGGGCAGAGCGGGGTAGCTGGGAAGGGTCCTCGTGCCTGCTGCCTCCTTGACTCGTGCCCAGACTCGGCCATGCTGTTCGTCCAGGCCCTGCTCTCTGCTCTTTTCTCCACGCCGCTGAACCCGCTGCTGGGCAGTGCTGTCTTCCTCATGTCCTATGCGCGGCCCCTCAAGTTCTGGGAGCGTGACTACAAGTGAGTCTTCCTGGGATCCAGGCTGCAGGGCTACTGGGCAAGTGGAGGAGCTCCAGGCTAGACTCCCTGGGGCCCTGAAAAAGGCCGGCGGTGGCTGTGTGAGGCTGTGATGTCGTGGTGGGCAGACCCAGAGCTGGGCCCAGGCCTCAGTGCACCTGGATGAGTCCTCTACATCGCCAAGCCTTACTCTTCTTAACTGGGAAATGGGCTGTCCTGGTCGTTGCCTCATAGCATGGAGTGTAGGCCAGTGACTTGGGCACAGGAGGGACAGAGAGAAGAAGCGGCAACAAGGCGGCAAGATTGTCCCATGACCTCTGGCCCCCTCACCCTTGGCCAGTCATGCCCTGCTCTCTCTGAACAGTACTAAACGTGTGGACCATTCCAACACCCGCCTGGTCACACAGCTGGACCGGAACCCCGGTAGGTACTCAGCTACCCCGGGAGCTCTGGGCGGGGCTTTCCTCAGGGACAGAGCCTCACTGACTTGTCACTTGGTCCATTTGGCTGTCTGTCCCGGACCCCAGGCGCAGATGACAACAACCTGAACTCCATCTTCTATGAGCACTTGGCACGCTCGCTACAGCACACACTGTGTGGGGACCTGGTGCTGGGCCGTTGGGGCAACTACGGCCCTGGTGACTGCTTCGTCCTGGCCTCCGACTACCTCAATGCCCTGGTGCACCTCATCGAGGTCGGCAACGGTCTTGTCACCTTCCAGCTGCGTGGCCTGGAGTTTCGAGGTGAGCAAGCCCGGCTCAGCTTGGGTGGCACATGGAGTCAGAGCCCTGTGTGGATGCTGGAGTCCCATCAGCCCTGGCCTGCAGGTATCTGGGCCATGGACTTCCCTGCCAGCCTGAACAGTGAGGTGAGGGGTTCTTGGCTGAACCCTGTCTGTTGTGACTGCCCAGGTCGCCATGGTGAACCTTTGGCCTCGAGCTCTGGGGTCTCATGCCAGCCCCCTCCAAACTACTCTCTGCATAGGCACAACGCCCTGGTACAGAGCCAGCGTGGGCTCTCCAGAAGACTTGATTCCAGAGGGCCACCCAGGGTGTCGAGGGCTCTGAACACCATGACCTACGTCAGTCTCTTCCCCTCTAAGCGCTTTAGTGCTGGCCTGTTCAAGCAAGGGCACAGACCTCCTCTCCAGCCGTGTGACTCTCCTTGTTCAGTCATGGCAATGCTGGCTCAGCACTGAGAGCAGCAGGGAAGGGAGCTCCCAGCTGGTGGGAAAGGCTTGTGTTACTGAGAATTCCTCAAGGAGCCCTGCTTGCACACTGCTTAAGTGTTTGGCTGCTAACTGTTCGAACCCACCAGCAGCTCCGCAGGAGAAAGATGTGGCAATCTGCTCCTGCAAGGGTGGCATGTGGACAGGAGAGACGCTAGAGCTGGGACAGGGAGGAGGGGTGTGACAGGATGAGGCTGGGGGTGGGCAGGACCTGGGCCTGGGCCTCACAGCACTAGCAGACCATGAGAAGGTGGTGGGCCTCCTCTGGAACATCTCGACCTCGCATAACTCTCAGAGAGAAGCTTTGGGAACAGGAATTAGCCATCTCGGGAGGGAGGGTGATAGAGAAGGCTGAGGGTAGGGGTCTTTGTAGAGAGGAGCTGCAGCCCAGTTGACTCAGGGGCTGGGCTTCCCCTGGGGCTTGAGGGTGAAGGGATGGAGGTGGGAGTGAACTGGAGCCGTGGGAATCACGCTAGGCTAGCTACCAACTTCACTGAGCACTTACCATAGGCCAGACTTACCAGTAGATGAGTTGCTTAACATCAAGCCGCCTCACCTAATCCTTTCAGTGACCATGGAGGGGACACATAGGGACACTCTCATTTTACAAATGAGAAAGCTGACTTTTGGAGATCACACAGTGGGAAACCAAGACCCAGATTGGAAGTTGGAGCCTAGACAGCCTGCCTGCGGGCTCATGCACTTATCCCCTCTGCTCTCCTGCCTGAAAGCCTTGGAGGAGGGAGGTCCCAGAGGTTTCCTGAGGAAGGGCCTAGGAGGTTAAACTACTTGGCCCAGCTTATGTGGCGTCTGGGGCTGCAGGAGGCCTTGATTCCAGGCTGGGGGACTCTCTGGGGAGGAACAGGCAGGGGTCTCCTTGTGGCCTCTGACAGGGCTCCTGTCCCCCAGGCACGTACTGCCAGCAGCGAGAGGTGGAGGCCATCACAGAGGGCGTGGAGGAAGACGGCGGCTGCTGCTGTTGCGAGCCAGGTCACCTGCCACGGGTCCTGTCCTTCAATGCCGCCTTTGGGCAGCGCTGGCTGGCCTGGGAGGTGACGGCCAGCAAGTATGTGCTGGAGGGTTACAGCATCAGTGACAACAACGCTGCCTCCATGCTGCAGATCTTTGACCTCCGCAAGATCCTCATCACCTACTACGTCAAGGTAAGGTGGCACACCCTGTTTGTCCAAGGGTCATTCCGCGTGCACCCTCCAACAGGCTCCATGGTGGTCCATGTGCTCTGATGATGGCTTGGTGAGGCCCAGGGGCTCCCGTCACCCACTCTGGGAGGCTTGCCTGAGGCCATGAACACTAGGGACAGGTAGCATCATGTATGTGGTCTCTTGACCAGGCTGCTGGCCCAGGAGGCAGCTGTTGAGGCCCTACTTCCATACATCACTCATCCCTCACACAGCACTGCCCAGACAAATGGCGGTGACAGGGATGGGGTTATCAGTGATCATAGGGGATGGCTGCTGAGTGCTCTCGAGTCATCTCTGCTTCACAGCAATAGCATGTACAACAGAACGAAGCACCACCTCTTCCTGCCAGCCTCACAACCTGCTGCTGGAGTCCATTGCTGCAGACACAGTGCCATGCCAGCTCATCTCATTGAGGGCCGCCTCCTTTGCACTGACTCTCTAGCAAGCATGACGTCCTTCTCCCATCTAATAAATAACACGTCTGACTGCTGGTATGGCGCTGTAGGATCAGCACTGGACTGCCAACCACAAAGTCAGCAGTTCAGACCCACCAGCTGCTACTTGGAAACCTTGTACAGGATCGCTATGAGTTGGAATCGACTCGTCAGCACTTTGCAATAACAGCATATCCGGAGTCATGACGCAGAAGTGTCACCTTCTTTGCTTTGAAGGAGCATTCTGGTCTGGCTTACGTCAAGACGAAGTTCTTCATTCTTTCAGTTGTTGTGGTTGTGAAGTGCCGTCAAGTTGATTCCGACCCGTAGCGACCCTGTATAGGGTTTCCAAGGAGCAGCTGGTGAGCTTGAACCACTGACCTTGCAGTTCAAACAACTTTGCAGTCTGACGCATTAGCCCACAGCGCCACACCAGGACAGTAGCCTGTGGTATATTCAATAAGGAGTTCTGGTAGCGTAGTGGTTACAAGTCAGACTGCTAACATCAAATTTAGCCGTTCAAAACTACCAGCTGTTTCGTGGGAGGAAGACGAGGCTCAGAAACCCTATACGGGGTCCCTGTGAGTCGGCATCGACTCCACAGCACACCACCACCATGGTAGACTTAATATTTTCGCCAACCCATAATTCAAAGGCATCACTTCTTTGATTTTCCTTGTTATCCAACTTTCACATGCATGTGAGTTGATTGAAAATACCATATTTAGGGCCAGGTGGACCTTAGTCTTCAAAGTGCCATCTTTGCTCTTTAAAAAGGTCTTTTTTAAAAAAAGACCTGTCACAGGTGTGGAGGAGGCTGGCTGGCAGTAGTAGAGGGATTTGCCTGAGGCCCTGAATCAGGAGGAAGTGGCCAAGCCAACCCTCTGCCCAGACCCTGCACTCAGTCTGTGGCCCTGCAGTTAGGGGTAGATGACAGATGGAAGACAAAGGGCTGCCAAGCCTTGGCTGACACTGGAATTCTGACTCCACCTCCCTTCTCCTCGGGCATCCCTGGCCCCACAGAGCTCCCCTGTGTCCTGGGGAAGAGGATGCTGACTGCCAGGGGCGAGTGGACACATGGTTTTGCTCTCTACCCTCAGGAACCTTGGGCAGGCTGCCTGACCTCTGTTGTGAGCTAGGGAAATTCTCTCCGAGGGTGGGGTGTGAGGGGTAACAGGGACTGTGTACATGGGACCCTCAAAACAGCTGGCTCTGTAAATGCTCCCAAAGAGGAGTTGCTGTCAGCATTGGACACATCTGTGGTTTCCTCCTGGGAATCTTCCTGCTGGGCTATCCCAGGATGACCTGTCTCGGGGCTCACGTGATAGTGAAAGCTAATCTTGCACTCAGGTGTCCAGTGCCCTCAGCTTTCCTGAGCTGTCTTGGGGTCTGTGGTAGGGCCTGGGCAAGGTCCAGCTGGAGCTACCCATCACTTGGCCCCTAGTTCCCTCACCTTTTGGTAAGGGGTGGCCCAGCCTTCCCCTCCCCTCCCTTCCCCAGTCTGGGTACCCAGCTGCCTGTAGTTAAGGTGACACAGGCCAGGCTGCCAGTTGACAGCCAAGCCCTCGTGTGGGGATGGTCTGGCCCACCCTGAACCATCCCTCCATGAGCCCCCAGCAGTGAGGCCCCCAGCTCTTCACAGCATATCCTCTGGTCATTTGGCTCAGGTTCTTATCTCTCCACATCTCTGCTGAGCACCCTGATACCTGGATGCCATCTTTTGTGGCCAGCTGTGACCCTCCCCCCTCTGGCCTGGGCTTCCTCACCTCTCACCCAGGTGGAGAGGCAGCCCTGTGACTCTACCTTGAAGGGGCGCCCTGGATCCCTGGCTCTTAGCTCTTGGCTGCCAGCCCCACACATCCATCCATCCTGATGGTACCAGCTCACCATCTTCCCACCGCGCCTTCCCACTTCCAGCTTTGAAGCCAATGACTGCCAAAGGGACTTCCCTGACCCAGGGACACTGAGGGGCTGCTGGATTGTAGGCAGCCCTGTTCCATTAGCTGACTCTTCCAGGGCCTGGGCGTCTGAAGCCCAGAGTCAGTCCCAGGACCGGAGACCGTTTGCCCTTCTGTGTGACTTGGGCCTGTCTGTCAGCCTTAGCACCCCTTGCTAATGGTGGTATAAGGCGCACATCACAACAGCACCCTCTGGACACATCTCTCAGGTGGGGAGCACCTACCTGCCTTGTGGCTTCAGAGAGCTGAAGTGGGACCAATGGGGTGGACGTCCTAGGAAGCCTCTTTCCTTGAAGCTGGCTCTAGTGGTCAGAGTTGCTCTCACCAGTCCTGATGCGCACTGTTCCATGCAGAGCATCATCTACTACGTGAGCCGCTCCCCAAAGCTAGAGGCATGGCTGAGCCACGAGGGCATCACATCAGCCTTGCGTCCTGTGCGGGCGCCTGGCTACGCCGACTCGGACCCCACCTTCTCGCTGAGCGTGGATGAGGACTATGACCTCCGGCTCTCGGGCCTCTCACTGCCCTCCTTCTGCGCGGTCCACCTTGAATGGATCCAGCACTGCGCCTCCCGGCGTGGCCAGGTCCCACACCTCTCCCAGGGCTGCCCACCCAACTCCAGGGACCTGGGTGCATCCCCTTCCAGCCCTTGCCCCTCCCCGGGTGTGCCCCCCATCCAAAGCCTCCCCTGGCCTGGGCCCCAGCCCCCACTCCCACTTCCCTGCCCCGGGTCTGAGCTAGGATCTGGGGATGGGGTCCTTGTACCGTAGCCCATGGACCAGGATTGGAACTCGCCGCTGGTCACGCTGTGTTTTGGCCTGTGTGTGCTGGGCCGCCGGGCCCTGGGGACGGCCTCACATAGCATGTCTGCTAGGTGAGTCCTCCAGGGCCAGCCAAGCCTGGTGATTTGCTCTCTCCACCCACGAAGAGCTCTGGGCCCCAAGAAACCCAGCATTGGCCCGTTAGTGGCTCTTCTAGATGGGCACAGTTCCTTCCCACTATGAGGGATGTGATCAGAGATAGAGCTTGTCAAGAGGAGAAACTGAGGCCCATGTGAAGAGGGGTCTGTCTGGGACATCAGCACGTGGAACCAGAGCTCTGCTCCTCAGCCCCCTCCCTCACGTCTCCTCTCTCTCTTCACCTTCCCCCACTTCTCCTTCCCTCCCTTTATCTCTCCTTCCGCCCGCCCCCCACCTCTCCTCACCTCCTTTACCTCCCTCACCAGTCTGGAGCCCTTCCTCTATGGCCTGCATGCCTTGTTCAAAGGGGACTTCCGCATCACCTCCCCACGAGATGAGTGGGTCTTTGCCGATATGGACCTGCTTCACCGTGTGGTGGCGCCTGGAGTTCGAATGGCACTCAAGCTACACCAGGTGGGAGAGGTGGGCCCAGGCAGGGTGGGCAAGCGGGTGATGAAGCACCCCTTCCGGGTCGGGGCCACTGAGTGGACGCTCCCCGCCAGGACCACTTCACGTCCCCAGATGAGTATGAGGAGCCGGCCGCCCTGTATGATGCCATTGCGGCCAATGAGGAGCGGTTGGTCATCTCACATGAGGGCGACCCGGCTTGGCGCAGCGCCATCCTAAGCAACACACCCTCCCTGCTGGCGCTACGTCACGTCATGGACGATGCCTCCGACGAGTATAAAATCATCATGCTCAACCGGCGCCACCTCAGCTTCCGGGTCATCAAGGTGAGCTGGGCTCCACTCACCCCACCCCAGCAGGGCCTGCTGCCAGGGTCACTGCCCTGACCCTTGCCTGTGACTGCTCACAGGTGAACCGTGAGTGCGTGCGTGGTCTGTGGGCAGGGCAGCAGCAGGAGTTGGTGTTTCTGCGCAATCGCAATCCTGAACGAGGCAGTATCCAGAACGCCAAGCAGGCGCTCCGCAACATGATCAACTCCTCCTGCGACCAGCCGCTGGGCTACCCCATCTACGTGTCACCCCTTACCACCTCGCTGGCTGGCAGCCACCCCCAGCTGCGGGCACTGTGGGGTGGCCCGGTCAGCCTGGGCGCCATCGCCCGCTGGCTCCTGCACAGCTGGGAGAGGTGAGCCCTAACCTCCGTCCCCAGAAGGCTGCGTGAAGGTACCCTGGGTGTCAGAGGGAGGAGGTGCTGGAGGCAGGATTGGAATCTCTAATGGAGGTGTGATCTCAAAGATGCCACCTTCCAAAGGCTCTGCAAGGCAGACAGCACAGTATTTTCAAGACAACCTGGAGCTGAGAGATAGGCAGGGCCTTATCCTAGGTCTACAGAATTGGGCCTGTGACCTCTTCTTTGTCTCTCCCCTCCACCTTGCAGGCTTCATAAGGGCTGTGGTGCTGGTTGTAATAGTGGTGGGAACGTGGATGACTCGGACTGTGGTGGGGGTGGCAGCAGTGGCTTGACCTCCCTCAGCAATAACCCCCCCTTGGCACATCCCACGCCTGAGAACACAGCAGGTGAGCAGGCTTGGCCAGGCTGAACCCAGAGATGAGGAGGATAGCCTTCCTGTAGTCTGCCATCTTATCTGTCTTCCGCAGGCGGTGGTGACCAACCCCTCCCGCCAGGCCCTGGATGGGGGCCCCGGCCTTCCCTGACTGGCTCTGGTGATGGGCGCCCCCCTGCTCTGCTGCAATGGCCACCCCCTCGGCTCCCTGGACCACCCCCTGCCTCGCCTGCCCCCGCTGAGGGTCCCCGGCCCTCACGGCCCCCTGTCCCTAGTCTCCTCAGTTCTGAGGGCCCCAGTGGGAAGTGGAGCCTGGGGGGTCGGAAGGGGTTTGGGGGACCTGAGGGAGAGCCAGCCTCAGGGAGCCCCAAAGGAGGCACCCCCAAATCTCAGGTAAGGGGCCTGTGGGAAGCAGGGTCCCAGGCAGCTCAGATCTGTTCTCCTGCCAACCCATCTCCCCTACGCCAGGCGTCCCTGGACCTCAGCCTTCCCCCAGACGTCAGCACGGACACCCCCCCCCTCAGAGCAGCTCAGGACAGTCCCTGCTTGGACAGCAGTGCCCCTGAGAATGGCACCCTCACGGGGGCCCCAGGCGACTGGCCTGCCCCCACCGAGGAACGAGAGAGCCCTGCTGCCCAGCCCTTGCTGGGGCATCAGTACTGAGCACCTGGTACCCGCTGGAAGCCATCCCAGGACTCCACACCTCGGACTCTGACCTCCAGCCCTCTCTGCTGGACCACAGAATTCGACAGCTTTGGCTCCCACATCTGAATCCTGACCTCTGGCTGCCTCAGAGCAGGCCTGACCTCAGACTTTGACCATTGGTCTCTCCTCCCTTGTCCAGGGCCTGGACTCCATAGCGTGAGGCAGTCAGCCTTCCACAGGCCCTCAGTGCCAACCCCATGGGCTGGTACCTTTGGAGCCTGTAACAGGACCAACCTGGCCCCTTGGGCGTGGACCTTGATCTGAATGTGGGAAGGGTGGTTTCATTTTTTTTTTTTTTTTTTTGTCATTTTTTTTCTCGTGCTTCGGAGACACCAGAATTAATAACACTATTTTTGATTTTGGCTGGCAGTTTCTCCTTCTATCTGGAAATGGTTTGGGGGAAGGGAGAGGACATGGCCAAGTCTGGGAGGGGTATCGCAGAGGGGAGTCCAGGGAGGGGGCTGAGGTGTCATGGAGATAAAGGTCAGACCAAGGATGGGATTCAGGTAGGCCAGGGCTGCCTTTCTCCTAGATTGTCTAAAGGTGGTTTTGTTCCGTTTCCTACCCTTTATATGTCCAGAATTTCTGGTTCCAGCCTTGCCTACATTTATGACCTTGACCTTGTCCAAGACCTTTCACTCAGCCTTTCTCCAACTAGAAAGATGAGCCTCCTGCCAAAGTGTTACACGAATAAATGGGGCATTGTGTGTGGTTACTCGGTGCTCAGTGCCCAATAAGTTGTCACTGCTCCTGAGCACCTGCTAGATGTCGGTGAGGAGGACACTAGGTGGCCTCTGCCAGCCCTCCCAGCTGGCCTGGAAGGAGGTTCTTCCCGTTTCCCAGAGGAGGAAGCTGGCAGAGAGTCAGTCCAGCGGCTGGAGACCCGGCAGCTCTCCTTGGCTGGCCCACCCCGGTCCTGATGGAGTGCATTGAGCGCACTGTCTAGTCAATCGCCCTGTGATCCCGCGCGACAACTGTCCGTCGCCAGGCCCAGGTCCCCGCCCGCTGCGCCCCGCCCGCCGCTGCCTCGGCTCCGCCCCCTGCAAGCCCCGCCCCCAGGAGGATCTGGCAGCCGCTGGAGAGCCGGCGGCGCGGGGAACCCGGCGCGGGAGACAGCGGCCAGTGAGAGCCGCGGAGGTACCAGCGGGAACGGGGGACAGGAGGCGCCGGGGCCGGATCGAAAAGGGTTGGAAAGTGGCCTGGCGTTGGCCAGGCGCTGTGGGTGAGGGAAGGGGGTCTTTACTGCGTTCGCCGCTTGCACCCTCCCAACCTCCGGGGGAGTCCCAGCTCGTCCTGGGCCAGCACGTCCAGTCTTCAGTCTCTAGCCGGTGGCCCCCACTTCCTCTTCTGCGTGACGGCCCACGCTGACCAGTGTGCGGGTGAGTGCACGCGGGGCACCTCTGAGCGGCGCTGTCAGCTGACTGGGCTGCCGGGGTGTGCAGGGCTCCCCAGTCCTGGGGCTTCCCTCCTCCTGGGCGGCCTCCTCCTCAGTCTTTGCACACTGCCCTGGAGTCCCAGGCCAGCCTGGGAGGAAACATCTGTCGCGCCCCCTGGCAGCAGCAACAGGGTCATGACCTCCAGATGTGCTGGGAAGTGTCCAGTGCCTCCTCCTGGGGCCACAGCCCTTCCGCATCTGTGGGGGTGGGGTTGGCCCCCTCCTCCTCAGTGACACAGGCTTCAAGGAATGTCCTGGCCTCAATGGGTCCTGTGTGAAGCTGCGGGGAGGGGAGGGGGGGGCAGAGCTCAAGAACACCCCCAAGGCGGGCCAGAGCCCAGCGTGGGGCCAGAAAGATAGGCAGCCAGGAACTGACACACACAGCTCAGCATACACAGAGCAAGGGACCAGCCAGAGCCTCCCTCGTGACCCCCCTCAAACGCCTAAGCACATGGAGGGAGCCAGCCTGCCTCCGCCACACATACACTTAGCACATGGCTGCTGTCATTGCTCCCTTCACCCTCTTCAATCTCCTAGCAGCAGCCTTAGAGGAGACAGGCAGTGTTTACCCATTTTAGAGATGAGAAAGCACAGTCAGGGTCAGAGCTTGACCTAGGAGGAACCAAGGGAGAAAACACCCTGACTTTGGAGAGCTGCCCCCCATTTTGTTCTGGAAGTCCCAGTGCTAAGGGTCCCCGGAGCCCTTGCTCCCACCCTTTCCTGGCTCACTGGCTCAGCCTACATCATATCTTGTCAGCAGATACCAGTGCTTACACTCCCTGTGGCGGGTCCCAGAGCCCTGGCCCAGCTGGTTTACCGGGGGCTGCCTCCCCCTCACATTCTCACACCACCTTTGCACCTGCCCCAAAGCCTCACCACATTTCCTGGGGCCTTGAGTGTCTCAGTCTTACATCCTGTGAGGTCTTGAGTCTCACCCCAACCCCCCAATTCCCACACCTACACACACAGGGACACAAGCAGGAGGGTGCTATACCCTGGAGACCCAGGAGATTGACAGACGCAGGTTTGAATCCCAGTGCTGAGGTAGAATTGCTTCAGGAGCAGACCCTGGACCTCAGTTCAAGCCTCCATCAGCCTCTGGTAGACCCCATCCAGCAAAGGGGCCCAGTCAGCATGACCCCCCCTCCCTTGCCCATAAGTTTGATCACAACTTATGCCAGGGGTGGGCTTGGGTTTGTCCTTCAGGCCAGGGCAACTTGGGTCCCGTGGCTGAGCTCCTCTGACCCCAGCACCTTCCTCAGGATGTGAGCCTGGTCAGGGGGCTGGGCTCCGAGTTGGGGCCACTTCCTGTGCCGAAGGAAGTCCTCTTGCTGTCTCTGTCAGCCCCCCTGTGAGAACTTTTGTGGCCTTGAGGTATTGAGACCGTGAGGGGCAGAGCACTGAGGCCCGACCTCTGGGTGTTCAGCTCCTTGGGGACCCTGGAGGAAGTGGGAGGGGCAAGGGAGGAAGGTCTCTGGGGACAGGACGTCCTCCCTTTGTCAAGCCAGCAGGACCCAGACCCCAGGGGCCTCATAGGTTTCCCAGCTCAGCCAAGGCAGGGTAGGTGTCTCTCCGCTAGGCCAGGCTTTGGTGGGGATCCTCATCTTGGGTCCAGGCCAGAGCCAAGGTGAATGTGTGGGAACTGAGAGACCATGGCAGCTCAGGGTTCCCTGTCCCTCAGGGCCAAGGGCCGAGCAGTCAGCGCTAAGTCCCAGGCAGACAAGGAAGTAGCCAGGAAAGCGGAAGCGACTTTGATGGTCGTGGAGGGGGCCGGAAGCCAACCCGGGCGGTGGAAGACCAGGCTGGGGGCCTGGGTTCCTGTTTTCACCCCAGGCCCCTTTGAGCAATGCTCTCCTCCCTCAGGACAGGAACTGCTGCTACCACCTAAGCTCATCAGCTGGGCACCAAGCACCCTCACCCGCCAATGCGGCCCGGCCCCCCGAGAGCCAGGCTCTCGGCACGCCCATGTGGGCCAGTGGCGTGGGAAGCCCTCGGCGGGGCCTGGCCCCAACATCTACTGATGACCTCTTTGCCCGCAAGCTGCGCCAGCAAGCCCGGCCCGCGTTGACCCCACATACCTTTGAGCCCAGGCCAACCCGGGGCCCACTCCTGCGTAGCGGTAGTGATGCGGGTGAGGCCAGGCCCCCGACACCAGCCAGCCCCCGGGCCCGGGCCCACAGCCATGAGGAGGCCAGTCGCCCTGCTGCGACTCCCACCCGGCTCTTCACAGATCCACTGGCACTGTTGGGGCTGCCGCCCGAGGCACCAGAGCCCGCCTTCCCACCAGTGCCTGAACCCCGCTGGTTTGCCCACTATGATGTTCAGAGCCTGCTCTTTGATTGGGCACCAAGGCTGCGGGGCCCAGTGGGTCACACAGAGGCGGCTCCTGGTGTCCTGGCCTCTGCTGAAGACCAGGTAGCTAGTTCGGACCTGCTGCTTGGGGCACCTGGCTTTGTGAGCGAACTTGGGGGTGAGGGTGAGCTAGGCCTGGGAGGGCCTGTGTCCCCACCTGTGCCCCCGATGCTGCCCAATGCTGCCGTATCAGTTCTGGAGGAGCCACAGAACCGAACCTCAGCCTACAACCTGGAACACGCAGACCTGGGTGCTGGTTACTACCGCAAGTACTTCTATGGCAAAGGTGAGGGCAAGACAGGCCTGGGGAGACCCCAGTCGGCCAGGGAGGTGTTCCAGGCACCTGGGGGCAGAGATCCTTGTCGCCTGCCCTGCAGACAGTAGGGCCTGTAAAGCTAGGGCTCAGTGTTAGGCTCTGCCTCCCAGCCGAGGCTATCCATTGTGCTGGGCCCAACTTTGAGGTTGAACTCAGAAAGACCAACCCCTGTTTGTCCCTCATGGGGGTTGTGAGGAAAGCTGTTCCCATCATTACCCAGAAGGCAGCGTGCCAGGACCTCGATGATGTCTGGTGGGTGGAGCCAGAGCAGGGCACAGGCCTGGGAATAGACCCCTCGGGTCTGGAGTTGCCCTAAGGGTAAAGTGTGGTAGAGCCTGGACTACCAAAGGGTCGGGCACCGGGCAAAGTTTATAGATTCAGGTCTGAGTCCGGGACTTGGCCAAGTAGTGTATGGGATGGACTTAAGCCCGGACTGTCCTGGGCTTGGTCTGTTGGAGGCGGGGTTGCTGTGGAGGGGTGGGACCAGTCACCCACGGCCGGACCCCCCAGAACACCAGAACTTCTTCGGTCTGGACGAGGTGCTGGGCCCAGTGGCCGTGAGCCTGCGGAGGGAGGAGAAGGAGGGCAGCGGAGGGAGCACTCTGCACAGCTACCGTGTCATCGTTCGGACCACGCAGGTGGGCTGGGATAGTGGGATCTGGCTGCGGAGGAGCCTCCCCCACACCCCATACAGATCCTGAGCACCCCTACACCTTCTCCTCAGCTCCGGACGCTCCGCGGCACCATCTCGGAGGATGCACTGCCACCAGGACCCCCGAGGGGCCTGTCCCCGAGGAAGCTTCTAGAGCATGTGGCGCCTCGGCTGAGTCCAACTTGCATGCGCCTGGGCTCTGCTTCCCCCAAGGTGCCACGCACGCTGCTCACTCTGGATGAGCAAGTGGTGAGTGAATGACTAGATCAGATCCGAACTAATGTGCCCAATTCCCAAGAGCCCAGGAGAGCGAGCCTTTCAGACAGCATATAACAAGACCAGCAAAATCCACGTCACCTGGGAACTTGATAAAAATTCATTCAGGTTTCCAGTCATCTGAATGAATCAGTCTTTGTGTTAAGGAGTCTCCAAGATGATTCTGTACACCTCACAGCCTGAGAAGTAAGCTCAGACTGCCCCGCCCCTACTCCATCCCCTCATCATTCTTTTTTTTTGATGTTTTATTGTGAATTATGTGATAGTTTACATGGGAGAACATTAGCTTTACATTCACCCTATCATATATCGTTTCATTGCCATGGTTACAATCCCCTCCATGCATCATCAACCAACCAAAAGGGTACACCCTGCAAGCCTGCCTCCCGGTTGTCAGCACATAGCCCTTCTCCCTCTCTGGGTCTAAAGTCCCCAGCTGCTCCGTCTCTCCACGTCATCGTCTCTGCCTCCATCTCTGGCGTCACTGCATCTCTGGGTCCCCTCATCATTCCAGCCAATTTCACTTCAGCCCCTGCTTGGTCTCCTCGCACTGAGGAGTACTCCTCTTTCCTGGAGCTGCTCATTGGCCTTGATACATGGGTCTCAGTTGCCATTCAATCTATTAGTCATTTAACTGTCAGATTATTTTCATAGCTTCTTTGTGTCGGGTCCAAAACGCTGGGGACATGTGCAGGCCAGGGACTGCCCTTGAGTGGTTCCCAGTTGCTGGGAGAGACAGATCCACATCTGACCACTAAAATATAGGAGTAGGGCATCAGAAGGGAATGGTGAGGGCTCAGGGGTTTGCTTCGTGGTGGAAATACCCCAGACTGGGTGAGCAATCATTTTCTAGGCAGAAGCAACAACTTCGATACTAAAAGCACAGGAGATGAAGTCCAGCAGGTAGTTCGCTGTGACTGGAGTAGGGTTTGCAGGCAGAGAGTGGAGAAAGTTTGCGTTTGGTCCTCAGGGCACTAGAGAGCCATGGGAGGATGCAAAGCTAATCTGAAAGTTTGAGCTGTTCTCTGGCTGCAGCATGGTGGGGGTGGGCTGTCTGCAGTCCTTCAGGCCAGAAACTGGCCAAGAGAGTGGTGGAGACGAGGTGACAGTCCAGAGGTAGAACAAGAAGCCGTGTATCCAATGGTGGTTGTTAAATGCCGTCGAGTTGGTTCCGACTCATAGCGACCCTGTACAGGGTTTCCGAGGCTGTAAATCTTTACAGGAGCAGAAAGCCTCATCTTTCTCCCGTGGAACAGCTGGTTGTTTCGAACTGCTGACCTTGCAGTTCGCAGCCCGATTCGTAACCACTGTGCTACCAAAGCTCTCCTATGTCTAATGGTAGAGGACATTTTAAAAGACTAGGGCTTCTTGGCCCCTCTGAATTGTGATTTTTATGGTGTCAGGGATCCTGATGGAGCTAGGGCTAGGCTGGGAGAATCAAAGCCAGGAGGCAGTCTTGCAGAATGTGCCCTTTGGTTGTTTAAATTATTATATATTCCTGAGTGTTTTGGGTATACATTCCTTCCCTCCCCCAATAAAAAACAGGTAATGGGGGGAAAAAAGGCAAGGTGATGAGAGGGGTCAAGGTGACCTCAGGCAGCTGGCATAATGGTCAGAGCTGGAGACAAAGCAGTGGCTGTCATCCTGTGAAGGTGGTCCTTGAAGCCACTGAGGGTGAGGCCTGGACACAAGAGGAGGGGTCTCCAATGCCTCAGCCATGGCCAAAAGGATGCCAGGATGAAGCCACACATATGGGCTATAGCAGGAGCCCAGACTGAGAAGCAAAGGTTGGAAGTGGGATTGTAGGGGCTGGGAAGAGCAAAGGTGAAGCTGGTACTGTGACTTTCAAAAAGTGAACAAGGAAGGAAGGCAGGCAGGGACCAGGGGGTTTCCCTGGGCCTGTCTTAGTGGAGATCAGAGTGCCCGGGATTGTGGTAGGTCAAGCTGACCACCGAGAGGAGCCAGGGCAGACGAGCAGAGCTGGAGTAGGACTCAAGGCCCGAGGGTAGGGGCTAGCAGGTGAGAGGACCCTCTAACCTTGAGCAAAGGAGGATGACAATGTGGCATTTCCTGGGAGTGGGTACACGCTGTACACGGTCCTCTCTATGAATCACAAGAACCAACCCTCTCCTGACCCCTTTCCACCCTCCTCTTCCCTCCTGGGTGCTGGGAACAGGACAGATCATGCACCCACTTGGTAGATGAGAACACAGAGGTGGCTCAGGGAGAATCGCTGGTCAGGGCCACACACAAGGCAGCCCGGTCTCCAGGCCAGTGTCCCGCCTATTCTCCAAGGTGTTGGGGGGAGTGGGGCAGCGGACTGAGGTCTGTGCTTTTTGTCTGCCTCCTGTCCCAGCTGAGCTTCCAGCGCAAGGTGGGCGTCCTGTACTGCCGGGCAGGCCAGGGCTCTGAGGAGGAGATGTACAACAACCAGGAGGCGGGACCAGCCTTCACACAGTTCCTCACCCTGCTGGGCAACGTGGTCAGGCTGAAAGGCTTCGAGAATTACCGGGCCCAGCTGGACACAAAAAGTGAGGCCCAGGGAGCTTGGGGCTACGTAGGGGGCTTCTTTGGGTATGCCAGTGACTTGGGTTGCAGACCAGTACCCCATTCCTTGAGGAGGGGCAGGCGAGATTTGGGGATCCCATCCTGTCCATCAAATACACACATACCACCAAGCCCACCTCCTCAGGAATAGCCCTGCTTCCCTGGCTGGAATGGTCTCAGGGCCCCTAGGAGGGGTTTTGACCTAGCACCCCCTGTCTGCCTTCCCCTTCCTCAGTGTTCCACAAATGCACAGGCCTGGGTCAGAAGTCTGTGTCCCTGTCTGTCCCTTTGCCCTGGTGTGGGGCTGGAGGCAGTAGGGGTGGGAGAGGAATAGCCGAGGATGACGTCCATTGTCCTTGTGGCTTGTGGCACCATGGTGGGGGTTCACCTATTGTTGGGAGGTCAGGAGGACACACATTCCTGAGCGTGGGCTAGGAAAGCAGTTCATACTATTCAGATTTTCCTCATTCTCTTCCTGTGCCCACCACTCCTGGCTCCAGCGGATTCGACCGGCACGCACTCCCTCTACACCACGTACCAGGACCACGAGATCATGTTCCATGTATCCACGATGCTGCCCTACACCCCCAATAACCAGCAGCAGGTGAGAGGGGCTTCGGGGCAGCCATGGAGGGCCCTGGTCTAAGCTCTCTAGACCCTCAATGACCCTTCCCCTTGACAGCTCCTTCCCCAAAGACCAATTCCCAGGCCGGCTCCCTGATGAAGTGAGGAGCCCCGGCTATGCCCTGCCTGGAGGAGACATTTGGGGGCAGGCAGCCTCCCCTCAGCCCCTACCATCTAACCCTCAGCTCCTGCGGAAGCGCCACATTGGCAACGACATTGTGACCCTCGTGTTCCAAGAGCCAGGCAGCAAGCCGTTCTGCCCCACCACCATCCGCTCACACTTCCAGCATGTGTTCCTGGTGGTGCGGGCGCATGCACCCTGCACCCCACACACCTCCTACAGGTGCACATCCCAGTGGCCCCAGATTTCCCTTGGGCGGGGGATAGGGAGGTGAGGGGGTGTATTCTTGGACCCTCCCTTCTGCCCCTGACTGCTGCCTCCCTACAGGGTAGCCGTGAGTCGCACCCAGGACACCCCGGCCTTTGGGCCAGCTCTGCCCCCTGGCGGAGGACCCTTCCGGGCCAATAGCGACTTCCGGGCCTTCTTGCTAGCCAAGGCACTCAATGGTGAGCAGGCGGCGGGCCATGCACGCCAGTTCCATGCTATGGCCACGCGCACGCGCCAGCAATACTTGCAGGATCTGGCCACCAATGAGGTGACCACGACGTCGCTGGAGTCAGCCTCGCGCTTCGGCCTACCCTCACTGAGCGGGAGGCGGCGGGCGCCCCCTCGGGGCCCAGGTGCCGAGCTGCAGGCGGCGGGTGCACTGGTGTGGGGCGTGCGTGCGGCACCCGGAGCACGGGGTGCGGCCGGAGGCGAGCTAGGTGGTCCAGACAGCGCTGAGGTGCCTTGCCTACTCGGCATCTCAGCCGAAGCGCTGGTGCTGGTGGCGCCTTGTGACGGCCGCGTAGTTTTTAACTGTGCCTGTCGCGATGTGCTGGCCTGGACCTTCTCAGAGCAGCAGCTAGACCTATACTATGGCCGTGGAGAGGCCATCACCCTGCGGCTCGACGGGCCCCCTGACCAGGCTGTGGGCGAGATCGTGGCGCGCCTGCAGGTGAGCCTGCGTGGGGCACTGAGGCTCAGGCAAAGGAAGAGTGGAAGGGCATATGAATGTAGGGGGCGGGGTGCAGACCCAGCGGGTGCATTTGGCATAGCTGAGACTAGGGCTTCTTGGGCTAGTGAGTGGTCACTGAGCCTGTGGTCTTCATCTGTCGGATGGGTTCCCTGTGACCTGGGGCGGAAGTCCCTGGAGGTGGGGCCTGGAGCCCCCCCTTCCGAGACACCCTGCTCCTCCCCTGCAGTTGGTAAGCCGCGGCTGCGAGACCCGAGAGCTGGCTCTGCCCCGTGATGGTCAAGGCCGTCTGGGCTTCGAGGTGGACGCTAAGGGCTTCATCACGCATGTGGAGCGCTTCACATTTGCCGAGACGGCAGGGCTGCGGCCTGGAGCACGCCTGCTGCGCGTGTGCGGCCAAACGCTGCCTTGCCTTGGTCCTGGCGTCGCTGACCAGCTGCTGCGCACTGCACCCAAGGTCTGCGTCACCGTCTTGCCTCCAGATGACAGCGGCCGGCCACGCAGGTCAGGGCACCAGGATGTGGAGAGAGGACTCTGCTGCTGGCCACTGCCAGTCATGGGTCTTCCACAGCGCTAGAGCATGCTGTCGGGAATCCGGGGCGGACGTCTTAGTCTCTCTGGACATTTATCTTCATCTGTGGGATGGAGCCAATTCAGGATGCTGCCATCTTTGTTCAGCAAACAGAAATAGCTGCTCTTCGGTGGTGTTGTAGGGTCAGCACTGGACTGCAAACCACAAGGTCGGCAGTTCAAGTCTACCAACTGCTTTTGGAAACCCTATGCAGGGTCACTATGAGTTGGAACCGACTTGATAACACTTAACTCCTTTTTAAAGTGCCCACCCCACTACATTCTGTGCTAGGGATCCATAAAAAGGGCCAGACAGGAAACATTTTAGACTTTCTGGAAAAAGATATGGCAGGGGAGAAAGATGTGGCCCTTTGCTTTTGTAAAGATTTACAGCTTCGGAAACTCTATGGGGCAGTTCTACTCACCCACTGCCCTTGAATCTGTTCCCATTCATAGCAACCCCACTGTTGTTGTTAAGTGGGGTCAAGTGGGTTCATAGCAACCCTACATAGGGTTTCTGAGATGCCGCTGCTGAGTTTAAACTGTCAACTTTGAGGTTCAAACCAGTCTTGCGCTCTGGTGCTTATCCTACAGCGCCACACCAGGACTCTATTTTGTTGTTGTTAAGTGCCATCAAGTCACTTTCAATGCATAGCGACCCTCTGTATAGGGTTTCCAAGGAGCAGCTGGTGAGCTTGAACCACCGACCTTGCAGTCTGACCCGTTAGCCCACAGCGCCATAGCAGAGTCAAACTACTCCATAGGGATTCCAAGGCTATAAATCTTTACCAAAGCAATCAGCATTCTTCCTTGAAACAGCTGGTGGGTTTGATTCACTAATCATTTGGTTAGCAATCCAACACTTAGCTCAGTGCCACTAAGGCTTCTATGGGCCAGTGAGTTTGGTTTCAATTGGAAGCCATCTGGTCTCTGTCAAAACTAGTTTGTTGCTGTGTAGCACAGATGCAGCCATAGACCATATGTAAATGAATGAGCATGGCTGTGTTCCACTAAAACTTTATTTATGAAGACTGAAGTTTGCATCTCATATCATTTTCATGTACCATGAAATATGCATTTGGTTTTTTTCCCAGTATTTAAAAATGTAAAAAACCATTCTTGGCCCGAAGTAGTAAAGACACTGTGCCACTGGAGCTGACCCTCAGGCAGTCGTTTCTAGATCCCTATGTTAAGCGTTTGTTTGTGTTGCAATTAAAGCCTCATAGAAGGTTGGTATTCTATTCCCATTTCACAGATGAAGAAACTGAGGTTCTGAGTTATTTGCCCAGGGTGCACAAGGGCAGTGCTGGAATGTAAACTTCTGTAGATCTGGGGAAATGGCCAGCAGCCAGGCAGAGCTGTTTGGTGGTTAGCATGGAGTCTGGGGGCTCTCCTCCTTGACTGAGCCCTGTCAGCACCGGGCTTGGGCAGGGCTTGCAGGATGCTGGGGAGGGTGCCTGACTGATGCGCCTTCTCCCACCAGGAGCTTTTCGGAGTTGTACATGCTGTCACTGCAAGAGCCCAGCCGGCGGGGTGCCCCAGAGCCGGTGTCTGAGGAGGATTCTGGGGTGGCCCTGCTGCCTGCCACAAAACAGCTTCTGCACCTGCATCTGCACCTGCCTGATGGCGGAGGTCCCTCTGGGCCCGGGGCCCTGGCCGAGGAGAGGACGGAGTTCCTGCACAGCCAGAACTTGCCATCGCCCTGCAGGTGCGGCCTCTTAGCACCCCCTCCTCTGGCACGACCCCGGGACATAGCTCCCAATGCTGAGCCGCCTCTGCTCCCTCCAGTTCCCTGTCTGATGAGGCCCCTGTCCTGCCCAACACCACCCCGGACCTCCTCCTAGCCACCACGGCCAAACCATCAGCCCCTAGTGCTGACAGGGAGACACCCCCCACCCAGGTGAGCAGAAAGCAGGCTCTGGGCCCAACAGACCCGGGTGGACATGGTGGTGACCATGGGCATCACTTCATCTGCACTCATTTAGGAACCCCAGGACAGGTCAGGTGGTCCTCCTAGTGACTGTGAAGACACAGGCAACCCAGCCCCGGAGCTGAGGGCTTCCTTCCTGCCACGAACTTTGTCTCTGCGGAACTCCATCAGCAAGAGTGAGTCTACTAGTCAAGGGCATTCCGAGGGGGGGGTGCAGGCAGGGCTGGCCTGGCTCTCCACCTGAGCCCCCTTCTTGTGTCTACAGTCATGTCGGAGGCAGGCAGCGAGACCCTGGAGGATGAGTGGCAATCTATTTCAGAGATCGCCTCCACATGCAACACCATCCTGGAGGCGCTGTCTCGGGAGGGTGAGGACCCCAGGGACCGGGGGAAGGAACCAGGGTGAAGTCTTCTCCCTTTATCCACCTGCCTACACAGTGCCTCTGTCCCCACAGGTCAGCCCATACCAGAGAGTGGAGACCCCAAGGGGACCCCAAAGTCTGATACTGAGTAAGGCTCCCCACCTGATACTGCCGGTCCTGGGTCTATGTGCCCACCATTACTCCTGTCCTTTGGGGGTTAAGCATTGCCCTGAGGCTCCATTTCACAGGCACCTAAGCCTAAGAAGCTGGGGGGGGGGGGTGCCCCCTCACAGGTGGGGCTAGGATGCTGCCTCAGCTCCAGGCTGAGTCCTGGCCCCCGTGTTCCCAGGCCAGAGCCCAGGAGCCTGTCAGAAAAGGTCTCTTACTTGGAGTCCATGCTCAGGAAGCTGCAAGAGGACCTGGAGAAGGTGAGGAACTGGGCCGGGCTGGAAGGGGCTGACTGCCCCTCTGGAGGGACTGGCTGCTCTAACTCTTGCCTCCCCACTGGCCCAGGAGAAGGCAGACAAGGCAGCTCTGGAGGAGGAGGTGCGAAGCCTGCGGAACAACAACAGGCGGCTGCAGGCCGAGTCAGAGAGCGCAGCCACCCGCCTGCTCATGGCCTCTAAGCAGCTGGGCTCCCCCACCACCGACCTGGCCTGACGTGGGTCCAGGCCAGAACCAGCCACACCACACCGGGCCCTTGGCCCTCCTCAGGAACTTTCTCCCCATGCGGAGGATGTGTTTAGCACTGCCCCCACTTCCCGGCCCATTCTCTAGTGGCAAGTTTGCCCTCATCCTGTCCCTGTTTGTAAATATTCTTCTTAGAAAAGGTGACTTAGGGAGTAAAGACGTCACTGCCATGTGTATGTGTGTGTGTGTTTGGGGGTTCACACTGTTCATGACACGAGGTGGGTAAGGGCTTTGCCCCCAGGGACCCAGCCTGGCTCCAGGCCCAGTTAGAAGGGCAGGCACACTGCAGAGGGCCCGAAAGCCAGGCACCCTTGGCTTTCTCACACAAACATTCATCTGTTTCTTCTGGGAAAGCAGGTAGTCATCCCCAGTCCTATTCTGTTTAGTCTTCAGAGCCAGGTCCTTGTCCTGGGCCCACCTGAGGTGCTGGAGTCAGGGGCAGAGGGTAAGCACCTACAGGGCAGAGCTCAGGGGTCAAAGAGAGCCTGCCAAATCCTGGGAAAAAACATGAACCCAGTTCCAGAAGTGGCAGCTTCTCTGGCTCAGTCACCGAGGGGCTTTCTCAGTGGCCTCAAGGAAATCAGCCCTTGACACACTTCTCACCAGTCTATGACCCCTTGTGCCCCTTACCAGGTCTGGCCTTCCCTACGAGAAGCATCAGCACATCCAAGCTTGAACTTTATTTTCTGGGCCTGAGACCCAGAGAGGACACTAACCCTTCCGTAGGCTGGCTGAGGCACACTGGGTTGAGACTCAGGCCATGTGACCATTAATTTAGACTCTGGCAGGATGAGCTAGGCTGAGAAAGAGTGCTGGGAATCATGAAGGAGGTAACTTGAGGGTTGAGTTTAGAACATCGAGTTGTTAGTAGGAAGAGAAGAGTGTCTAGGGTGGGACCCATTCAGGGAGCCACCATGCCTGGAAGGATCCAGGGTCTAATCAGATAGCACTGGATCAGAAAGGATTTTAGGAATCCTAGACTAGCAGTTCTCAGCACTGTGACCCTGATTTCCCTTAGGACAGTGTGGCAGGCTCTGGTCACACTCTGGGTGTCCACAGAAAAGGGGTCTGTCTGGTCATGAGATTGGGGTAGAATTTTGGCGACAGCCCTTTAGATGCAGGGAAAGTGGTGGAGGCTGCAGCAGCAGCCCTGACAGGAGCGGTAGTGACTTACAGACACAGTGATGGAGATGGGGCAACGGGGCTGACTTGCCAGCAGCTTGGGGGTGGGGGGATCAGACACACGGTAAGGGAAAAGAGGTGGTCTCCGCATTGGTGATCAGGCTGAGGTCGTTTGGAGCAGGAGGAATTTGGGAGGGAGACCTGAGGAAAGGCAGAGTGGAGCTGTCCAGCAGGCTGGTCTAATGGAGACAAGGCTCTGGCACTGTGAGCAGGATGAGCTCACTGAGGGAGTGTGGGAAGACCCAGGAAAGGGCTTCCGGGGGTCACCGGAGATCAGTGTTCGACTCAAGGGCAGCCAAGAGCAGACGAGGACTGGAAGTCCCTCTGAGCCCCCCCAACCCCCCACCCCACCCCGGATTGGGCGTAGCGTTGATGTCGGCTTCCTTCCAGTTAGGGTCCTTCTCCCTCAGAGGGGACCCTCCTCGGACCCCGGCCTGGCTCCACTTTCCCAGGTTTTGCCGAGCAGGGTCGCCAGCGCCTGGATTCATGGCGAGTGGACCCTGACTTCAGGCCCCGGCCCAGAAAGCTAGAGCGCAGCAACACAGAGCTCCCGAGACACGTTCCTGTCCCCAGCACTCCGCTGCTGCTGGCGTCTTCCCCACAGGCGCCATCCACCTGAGTCTACACCCCGTGTTTTCCTCAAGGTCTTTGCAACGCGTCCTGCCTTCCCTTTCCCGCCACAGTGCGAAGCCCTGTACTTAGACGTATCCCATCAACTTCTGGGCAGGTTTTCCGGGATCGCATTACCTGGGCTCACTGAGCGGAATACCGTCTCTACGCATGCGCGCTCGAGAAGGCGTGGCCTGGCCGGCCTAGGCCTTTCCCTGACCCTGCTTCAGTGCGCGTGCGCCAAACTAAGCGGAAGGTTTTTGTTTAGGCCTCGCGGGGTTTTGGATAGCGATTTCTTCCTTCCGAGAACCAGGTTTCGAAACTAATGTGAGACGGACATAACCTTTCCTGCCATCTCCCCTTTTCCAAACGATAAATTTTCTTCTAGCCACATGGGAAATTAAGTCCAAACCTCTGAGCCACCTTTCTGTGTTGTTGTAAGGGCTAAGATAGCCTCTGTGAGGCCTGTCCTGAAACTATACCATCCCCGCAGTCCTGGGCCCCTCAGGGCTCTTACTACGTGGGATTAGGGAACCCCACTCTACCTGCCTTCATCTGCTGGATGATAGCTAAGGGTATCCTTCCGAGGGCACCCTCACACAGCAAACTTCCCACCATCCATCCAGTTCCCACCCTGGGCTGACATGACCAGCGAAGTTTTATGTCTGTTGAAAGAAGGAGAGTCTGGCCAGCTTGGCAACAAATTTATTAGTTCAGTGTAGAAAGAGCAAGAATCCAACTGCTTTGATTTTTTCTTCTGTAGAAACCGCACCTCTTGACCAGAGAGCTACCAGCCTGCCCTTCCCCCATGCTCCAAACCACTTGCCCCACCATTAAGGCACTTGAGAAAACGGGGAAAGAGGATGGCCAAACCTCCTCTGGATTCTGGAAAAGATCAGCGTTGTTCCATTAGTACCCTTCTGTTGCAATTGAGAACAAGGAAAGGGCTGGCAGGCCAGGGCCTCACACACTGGTGTTAGGTTCAAAGTCAATGCTAGCACCAGAGGACTAGTAATAGGGCATGAATTTGGCTCAAGGTATAAATGAATCCAGGTTTATGGAAGACACTTGATAATAAGGCTTTGCAGTCTTTTCAAAGGCCACAGCTCCAGTCTGCCCCTCTCTAGGAGAGTACTAGAAACTGGAGGGCGGGAAGGGGGGCTCCCAGAGCTCTCTACAGAGAGAAGGGAGCAAACATCAGGATGAAGGAAGAAAGTTCCGGTCCTTCCAGCTCCCTCCTCTCCAAGGAAGTTAATGCTTCTGCTTAAACACCTCCAAAAAGAGAGACAGATAGATACTGCTGATAAAGGAATAAAATGTGTCCCTGGAAGACATTGCTCAAAGGAGTTGGGGGCAGTAGGAGCATGCACCCAGGAACCTGTAAGTGTCCTGGGAGGGGGGGTTCAGTCCCTGCAGACAGGGCACTGCCACCCACTTAAGAGCTGATTTGACTGAGCAGAGCTGAGAAGTCCATGTCCGCGATTGAGGAGAAGTCTTCATCCCCTGACAGAAGGCCATTGGGTAGCCCCGAGGCACCCAGAGGGGTGGGAGCTGGGTCCGGGGGCCTCTGGGACCCAGACACCAGGCGAGTTATAGCCTCAGGGTACTCCATCAGCATGGGCTCGGCTGTATGGGGAGCCATAGACACACCCTGGCTCAGCATCTGCTGAAACTCTGAGTTGTCAACTGAAGCCAGGTCTGTGAACACAGCGGGATCTGAGCCGCTGCCAAGCAGAGCACCCAGGTCTTCATCAGCATCAAACTGCAGCTGTAGCAGTGCCTCCGTCAGTGTCCCTTCCCCGGTCTGGGTGGTCTTGGGAGCTGGTGGGGGCACAGCCTGAGCAGGGCCTGAAGCTAGGACAGGGGCTGGGGCCTGGGCCAAAGCTGATGCCATGGCTGGGGCTGGGGCCAGAACTGGGGCTGGGGTTGGGGCTGGGGCCTGGGCCTGGCTTGGGATCTGCCCGGGAGAAAAGATCATGGGGGAAAACTCCTCAAAGTTGATGGTGCTGAGGGACGGCGTAAAGTGATAGGGCTGGGGGGCTGGAGGAGAGAAACAGAGACATGGGATCAGAGAAAGCTCCAGAGACCCAGCCCTGGACCCCAGCCCCTCTTCGTAGTGCCTAGGGTTAATCTACTCTATGGTGGCACTGCCAGCACCTTTGCCTCTTCCTCTTCCTCAACCAGATCCAGCCTGTGGGGCCCAGTTCTAGTGCCGTCTCCTCTCTGGAGCCCTCCTGGACTATAGCAGCCCACTAACGCTCCTCACCTCGCCCCTCATCAAGTGCTTCTAGCTTTTAATGGAACCTCCAGCCTCCTCATCTGACAGCTGGAGAACCAAGGCCCAGCACGGAGGAAACCCAGTGGATCCTCATGAGGAAGGCTGAAAGGGCAGCGGGCCCCCTTTTTTGAGGCACACAGCAGCAGAGACATGTGCCACTTTAGAGGTGACTTTGATTCAGCGGAGAGCCGAGAGCAGAGACTTGGCCACTTTACTTCTATCCAGTCACTGCTTGGTGGCTTTCAGGCTTCCTGGGCATCAGCCTCCCTGAGAAGTTGCTGGTTCCTGGGCTGGACGCCCAGAAGTTCTGACACAGAAGGTCTCCAAATGGGCCCAGGAATCTGCACCTTCTCCGCACCCAGGGAGTCCAGGCCTCAGCCTCTGAGAACATGGGCCCCTCAGAGAGCAGATTCTAGCCGACACCTGCTGGCAAGGCCGATTCCTCAGCTCACCTCCTTCCAGCAGCTGTGGAAACCACGGGCAGACCAGAGAAAGACCAGCAGTCTCAGGGGGATAAAAGGAAGCCTTACCTGGCTTGGGGATGGAAGCTGAGCTTCGGGAAGGCACAGCAATGCGTCGGGATGGAGGCCTTGGGTCCGTGGGGCCTACAGGGAAGGGATGGGTCAGCTCTCAGCACCCCGTGGGCCCGCCCCTGTTGCTGCCGCTCTCCAACTCTCCCCATGCCACTGCTCACCATTGAAGGGACTCTTCTTCATGATGCTCTTAAAGGTCTCATAAGTCCTCTTTCGTTTCTCGTCAATCCGGTGACGATCATCTGGGAGAGGAACGGGGAGAAGTAGGTCTTGCTCTCATCAGAGGCCCCTCAGAAGGAAGGTGAGGAGTGAGCTTTCCTAATACCTCCGCTCCCACCTTCCTTGGCTGTAACATGGTCACTGGGACACTTAGCAATTCTGAGAGGACATTTGCTGCTTGGGTTTACTACTCCAAAGGCCACACAAGTGTTCCAGGTAGCAAGGTCACCTAGCCTCCAGCCCTTTCTGTCCCCTGGACCACTCTTGTCCTAGCACATCTCCAGCATGCAGTCATGCTTCATCTCTCCGTGCTCTGGGGCGGTGGTGGCTTGTTTAAGAAGTCTGCAGACTGTTCCTCTCTGATGGTTTGAGCTTAGTTTGGGGGTTTCAGAACTGTCTTTCTAACCACCTCAGTTCTTGAATAACCCTGAAGCACCTTGACCCATTAGTCCAAAGCTTACCCCAAATCATTTCCCCTCAGAAACCTGGCTCTCTCTCCTCCTCTGAGAGGTTCTTTATCCCGAGAGCTAGAAACGTTAGAGTCAGCCTCGTCATCTCTCTTTCGCTCCATTCCCATAGGGACTGAGTCCACACATATCAATCCAGCACCTCCTATGTGCCAGGCGCCATTCTAGCCACTGGGGATAGAGCCATGAGTAACCAGACAAGTCTCTTGCTCTCAAAGAGCTGGCATTCTAGTGGTAAGAGATGGAATTGGCCACCTCTACAAACCAGAAGATCTCAGGATGTGAAAGAAGCTTTGAGAAAAGTAATTGGGGGCCTAATACCACCAAGGATGAGGCAGGGGAGGTGGTCAGGGAAGGAGCAGTGTGGGCTGGCCACGTGCAGCCCTGGGACCACACTTTTCCAGCTGAGGTAGCACTGCAGGTCCTGAGGTGTGACTCAGCTTTGTGTGTGTCACACACCACAAAGTCAGTGAGGCTGGGGAAGGGAGCTGAGAGGAGGAAAGCGCAACAGATGCGGTTGTCTTGCTCCGCCGTCCCTGCGCCACGGCTGATGCTGTCTCTTCTCTTCTTAGAGCACCTGGCTTCACTCAACAGACTCTTGCTGATGGTTTAATCATTCCATTAGAAGCTTTCACAGCGCTCTAATCACCTCAGTTCCTGGATAACCCTACTAATACATCTTCTCAAATGCCTCCACACCTGGAGTCTCTGGGACCCTCAGATACCCTGCTGTCGGAAAGGCTTCTAGATATGCTCACAAACCGAGTGGCTCCCCATTGCCTCTGGATGCTTGGAGCTGAGAATGCAAGCCTGCTCTCTCCCCAAGGCAGCCTCCTGCCACAGAGCTGCATCTTCCGCCATCCCTGCCTCTCCAGATGCCACCCAGCTGGGGAATGCTCTTCTGTGTACTTCTCCAATTTCAGTGTCACCTCTTCCGTGACCCTTCCCAGTTCCACCTCTGCTCCCACGGCGCTCCACGGCATGCACAATCCTCGGTTTCGTCTGTCTTCCTGTGTCTTAAGGATGTTTTGCATATGTGTCCTTCCTCAAGTGACTGCGTTTCCAAAGGGCAGGGCCCACGTCTTACTCATCTTTACATTCACAATACCTGGCATGAGCCCTTGGCACTGGGTGATTATTTGTGGAATGAATCGATGGCTGGTTTCTGTGTTGTTTTTTTGTAGCCCTATGTTCCAAGCTCTAGTGGATGGCTCCCAGAGGGCAAGAGGTTCATAGGCTGGCAAGCGGGCTGTGGAGGGAGATCATGCTGGCTCTTTGTACTGTACTCAGATGCTTGACAGTCTGGCCCAGCTCTGGCTGTGAGGGACAGACACACGACAAAGAGTCTAGATCAGGGAGCCAAACACCGGGTTCAAATGCTGACCCTGCTCCAGACTCCCTCCGTGGCCTCCGACAAGGCAACCTCAATGGGCCTCAACTTCTTCACCTGTGAATTTCCACAGAAGACTGGAGAGAGACTATGATTAGGCAACTCACTGAAGTGCTTGGGGTAGGAGGGCAGGACCTGGAGGAAGCGCTCCGCTGCTCTTGGCTCTTATTGTTACTATGAAATGAGGCAAAAAATGAGACACTGTATACATCCTATGTCCTGAGCCCAGCTGTCCTGTCTCTCAACTGCAGCTTCAGACAGCCAGCCTGGGTCTCTCTCTTGAGGCAGAGTCTGACAGCCCTGCTGCTGCCCTCCTAACTGGTTACCTGTGTCTGGCAGGTACTGGAATTCCATGGGCTCACTGAGCTCCCGATCGGAAGGCCTCCGCAGCTGCATGGAGACTCGCACAGGGGCCTGCAGGCTGGGGTCGGCGTAGGGGGGTGTTCGGAAGACAATGGCCACTTGCCGGTGCACATCTGCTTGGGAGAAGGAGCCTCGGGCCTCCCAGCCAGGTCCCGTGAAACACACCTCAATGTCCTCTGTGGAAGGCAGGTTGGCAGTGAGAGCGAGCATGCCTGAGTCTCCAGGAGTCCCCCAAAGGCTGATGCTTGCTCCTGAGATACAGCACCTTGGTACCACCTGAGACCCCCAACGTGTTGGGGGGCTTTTAGAGTAAGTTCTGTGACCTGTGATGTCTCAGCTCCACGTCACCCTCACCTCCTGATCCCAAGTCCAGCCCTGTCCCATGGAGTGTACCTTTTTGCACCTTGTCACACAGTAGGAAGATCTCATCCCCGCCAAGACAGCTCCCAGAGTTTCGGTTCACTCGGCAGATCTTGAGCTCAGCAGTGTTGGGGGCGCCTGTGGGTGGGGAAGTGAGGGAGGAAACCCTGAAGCAGTCCTTGTGTCTGGTCTGCAAAAGGCATCACCTTCCTGCCCAGCCCAAAGGCTAAAGGGTTGCCCAGAGCTTGCTGACCAGACCTCCGCAGCCTCGTCAGATTGTTAATGGAAAGGAAGCTCCAAACCCACTGGGTCCCAACCCCATCCAGCTCAGTGGCTCTTAACCTACCAGCATGGTCCTGGATACTGAGCTACAATGCACAGAACCTCAACATCTCTGCCCTCAGGGAGCTTCCGGTCTAGCGGAAACTGATCTGACTGCACCTCTTTCTCCACCTGACACGAGTCATCTTCAAGGCCCCATTCATAGCCACCTGGACAATGAGGCCCGCTCTGACCCTTGCTCAGGAATAGGCCCAGGCACATAGGACGAGCGCAGAATAACATCTGGGCAGTTATTATTAAATGAGGCAAAAACTAGATACTACCCTTAGGGCTCCAGGTGGTTAGCATCCACCCTGCTTCACACCTACTAAAAAAGGCTGTTGGTACTCTCCAATTTATCATTGAAGTGACTCTTTAAAATCATCCTGTCCCTGGAAGTCCAGTCCCTGGTGTTACCAGCACAACCTGGGGACACACAATTCGTGGTCTACTTTCACAGAGGGGCTCTGCTCAAGCCCCCTCACACACACAAGTAATGGGAAGAGCCTGGCCTCGCCAGTCCATCACGTGATAGTGAAATGCCTGTCCCCTGCTGACTCTTCGCCAACCTGGAAATTCTGGGTCCCCTCTGCCTGGTCTCCATACCAGCAGAGCTAGGCATAGAGGAGATGACGAACCTACTAGAATGCAGCCAGCTAGAGTTCCTCTCCTGGGCCACGCGTCACCTTCCAGCAGTGCCCCCTACCCTCCACAAGCCCACCCCTCTCTGCCTTCCAGGGGCTCCCTGCCCACTCACGGTTGTCAAAAATGGGATGAGAGAGGACAGGCGGCAGGCGGAGGGGCCTGCCTGACGGGTCACACACTGTCACCTGGAAGCAGAGTCTCACAGCGTTCAGGTCATAGTCCCCACGCTGTTCTTCTATAGGCACTGCAGAAAAACCAGACAGGTGGTCAGGAGATCAGGCCTGGGGGTTCAGGGGGGGCTCTGGGCTGGGAGGGGTTTGAGGGCCTAGAGCAGGAAGGAGAGAAGGTTCAGACCCACCACTGACTCATCTCTATTTCCCCAGTGGTAAATGAGAAGCACACTGAATGGGCAGCAAGATCCCATCTGGGCTGTGCTTCTTGATCAATGGGGGAGATACCGGGAAGGTAGCCTCAGGGGGGGCAGCAGTCGGGGTGCTCAGGCCCCTCACCTTGGAAGGGGTTGTTGTTGGTCTGGATGCGCTGACTGATGGCCTGTTCCAGGTCCCGCTTCTTCACACACTGGATTCCCAGGTTCTGGAAGCTGAGGCCCCCGGACATCAGGACTGCTGTCTCCAGCAGAGCCGGGGGGCCCTCCTGTCTTGCTCTGTCTGTCCTTCCTCCCCTGTTCCCAAGATCATCTCTCTATGCTTAATGCCTCCCCACTGTGCTGCAAGGCAACCCCAATTCTTGACCTCAGTTGACAAGTGTGGGGTAACCTGGCCCTTGCCAACCTCCTCCAACCACCGGGGCTTCTGTTCTGCTCCTCAGATGTTAACCTCAGGCCCAGGTCTAGGCCTTTGCACTTGGTCTTTCTGCTTGGAACATTCCTTCTCTCTTTCTCTACTTCTCACCACAGGAGTCTTAGCTGAGCCAGGCCTTTCCTGAGCTTCCAATCCAAAGCCATGGTCTTGCCCTGGGTTATTCTCGCAACCTACTGCTGTGTGGCTGGCTGGTGAGTCAATTCCAAGAGGACAGAATTAAACTCCCCTGTAGGGTTTTCTAGGTTGTAAATCTTGAGGGGAGTAATTGACAGGTTTTGTGTGTTTTTTCTCCCAGGGAACAGCTGGTTAGTTCAAACCATTGACTTTTGGGTTAGCAAGTGAGCATTTAACCATTCCATCACTAGAACTCCTTCCCCTCTGCTGTCCTGTTTACTTTCATTACTGAAATGCTTACTCTCCATGATCTTGTTTACTTATGGCCTCTCTCTGTCAACCAGGGGAGACTGTTCGCTGAGTTTCTGTCTCAGCACAGGAGATGGGACACTAGGCAGGGGCTCAGAGAGGATTATGGTCTCATCCCTGTCCAAGGAACCACATCTGTTAGAGAGAATGGGCCCACAAACAGAGCATTTCAAGACAAAAGCAGTTTGCTTGCAGAGCCGGGGGCCAGAGCAAGGAGTGAGGAATTCTGCCCTGTGTCTGGAAAGCAGTAACACGGTCACAGCTAAATGACCATCCTGCCAACTGGCTCCCAGCTCCTGTCTCCCCAGGGCACCCTGGGTTGTGGGGAGCTCACCTGTGGATACAGCGGTCCGGGCAGAGTTCCGCCTCATAGAAGCCATCCCGGCAGTCCTTCCCTACAAGTTCGTGGGGGTGAGGCCGGTGAGGAGGGTCCTTGGTGACGAGGGAGATGCGAACTGTCCCTGGCCCTGTGTAGCCATTGATCTGTCCAAAGTACAGAGAACACCCTACAGGCCTAAGAACTCCAAACCGGACTCTCGGGCTCAGAGGGCACAGTGGGTGGTTCCAGAATCCCCTTCCGCCACTCCGTACCCCCAGCCTGCCCCAGGCGCGGGGGTTTCAGTGCTGACCTTAATGGTGGGGTGGGTCTTAGTGGTGTCCGTACTCCTCTCTCCTGGGATGCTGCCTGCAGATCGGCCCTCGCACTTGTAGCGAAAGCGCATGCCCCGCTGCTTGGGCTGCTCGATGATCTCCACATAGGGGCCGGAGGCCTGGGCCGGCTCTGCAGGAACACAGTCAGCCCCCCTGAGCAGCTGCACATCTCCCCAGCTGTAGGGAGAGCCGCCCAAGCCATCGAAATCAGTCCACTTACCCGATGGGAAGATGAGGGGGAACAGGTCTGGAAGGGGAGGGAGACAAGAGTCAGTATAAGCCCACTGGCTGGCCTCACAGGGCCACGTCCCCACCCAGAAACATGCAGCAAACTGAGTCAAGGCCTGCTCCCCGGAACCTTGGGTCGGAGGATATGGGTAGGAGAGCCCGAAACACCTGTTTCCTCCAGGAAAACTGGATCTGGTGCCCTTCCTCCCTTCACTTAGGGAAACTGAGTCAGGACTCTTTCTACTTTCATAAGGAAAACTGATGGAGGTCACTCTGCATCTCCTATCCTAAGGAGAAACTGAGGCAGATGTGCTATTTCCCTATCAAGGAAACAAAGTCAGATGTGCTCCCAGAGACCATGGAGGGAAACGGAGTCAGGGCTCAATCCACACCCGCACCTTGGGGGGGCATTGGGTCAAGGCGAACTTCCACCCTGAAGGGAAACTGAGTCAGGCCCCTTGCCACCTGCCCCGCCCCGTGCCACCATCCGGCCTGGCCGCTCCCTGCGCAGCACTCGCCAGCGCAGGAAGGGGCGGAAGGCGTTCGCAGACTCCCGCCACGATCTCAAAAGCCCCGCGCGGCCACCCCCCAGGGTCCGGGGGCGCCCTCACCGTCCATGGCCGGGGTCCCGGGGGCGGGGCCGGGGTCGCAGCTGAGCCCGCGGCGCGCGCTACAGCCGAGCCATTCGCCAGAGGCGGAAATGCGCCGCGCGCGCCCGCCGTCGCGTCACTGCCCGGAACCTGGCTGCGCCTGCGCGCTGCGCCGCCGCGGGAGCGAGTGCGCGCGGCCTGGGCCGGGAACGAGCGAGCGCTGTGAGGTGAAGAGGGCCGCTCGCTGTATGTGTTCCCGATGCTGTGCGGCCGCTCGGCTAGCTAGCGAGGCCCGGCCCCGTCTGGAGGCGGGCCCAGCGATTACTCACAATGTTTTTAGGGGATTTCGGGGGCCTGCTCCCGCCGATCGGAGCAGTTGGTGATGTCACCCAGGTCCCAGCCTGGAGCGAAGCCAGGGTTGCTGGGCTGCGGCCGCTGGCCTGCGGCTGGAAAGGCTCCGGCCTGCTGCGCCCTCGAGGGGCCGGGTGACTGCCCTCGACCCGAGTTTCCTCGGCGCTAAAAGTGCCTTTTGGTTGAAGCTGCTTTGGAAGTACTTGTTAATTTCCTGTCCAACGCAATCAGATGCAGTTGGGGGCGATACACCTGACCGTGGAGCTACGTGGAGCCCTCTGGCAAGGAGGGATGGCTGAGGCTCAGTCCCGCGTGGAGTGGGGCCCGGGCTCGGTGCCTCTCCGCTGAAGGGCTGGTTTGGGATGAATCCAGACGAAGGCAATGAGTGGCAGGGGACGCCCTGGGGTGCAACTCATCTGTGCGGCTCACAAGGGGCCGCTCCGACTAGCAGGGTCACATTTCCCATCCGCCTCCCCAGAATCTCCAGTTGCGTCTAGCTTCGGCCACTGGGGAGGCATTTCCACGAATTAGCCGTCTTAGGACCCGACACCCGCTCGATGCGGGCATCGCCTCCAAGGGCGAGTCGTCCATCGCTGAGGGGTTAGGGGACTGGAGCTGGCCATCTGCTACCCTAGACCGCCTCTTTCTAGAATGAGGACTGTCCACCGGTGGGTGCGGAGCCCTCTCCAGATGGAGAGAGACTTATTTTCTCTGTATTCGTTCTAAATTAAGGAATCATTTGGGAATTGGAAAAGACTGGAAATTCTGACTTGCTTTCCCAGGCTCTGCAAAAAACAGGAAGAGAAAAGTGAAAACGAAGTTACCAACCCTCCCACTCTTTTCAGTTTCTCCTGGGGCCCTAGTTAGAAAAGTCGGCTTGCTTTTTGGAAAGAAGCTGACTTTGGGCGGATAGAAGGGATTTAAGTCTTTGCTTAATAAAGTACAATCATCATGAACCCATGCCTGATTCTCTTTTACATATATATATATGTATATATAAACTCTGGGGGGACAAACTATGTTTCCTAGAAATGTGGACTGACGTTTTTCGTAAGTTATGAAAAATTCTTTCCATTATCTCTTAACATATTACCTTTCCTATGCTCTTTCTGGAACTCATTAATAAAATGATTAGCTAGGCCACAGGAAAAAATATTTGCAACACATATCTAACAATGTATTTGTTTATTGTTAAGTGCCATGGAGTCGGTTCTGACTCATAGTGACTCTGTACAGTTTCCAAGTAGCAGCTGGTGGGTTTGAACCACTGACCTTGTAGTTAGCAATCCAGTGCCACAGCAGGATTTCAAAGTACTTGTATCCAGATATAAAGAATTCCTACAAATCAACAATAAAAAGAAAAGCAATCCAATTATAATAATTTTTAAAAACCTAATTGAACACAAAAGAAGATACACAGTGAAATCAGAGAGCTGGAATTTGGCAAGACTATCTTGTTTTCCTGGAGTCCTGGTGTGGTGCTGTGGACTAATGCACTGGACTGCAAAGTCGTTTGAGCCACAGATTGGAGGTTCTAGCTCACCAGCCGCTCCTTGGAAACCCTATATAGGGTCACCATGGGTCGGAACTAACTCGATGGAATTTAACAACCACTACTGCCTTTGTCTTTCTAGGTCTCCCAAATTTTTTATCTTTGACAGGGTACAGTCTTACCACTTTCCCATTGCCTATTTTAGTGAAAGATATTTGAGTTTTCGGTCTCTGATAGGTTTCTGCCATATGCAGTTCCAGCTTTCACAGGTTTCACTACACAAATAAATGGTCAGTAAATTCATGTATGGTGCTGTGGGTTAATGTGCCAGATTGCAAAGCCATTTGGACTGCAAGGTTGGCAGTTCAAACTCACCAGCTGCTCCTCAGAAACCCTATACAGGGTTGCTATGGGTCGGAACTGACTCGACAGCACTTCACAACAACAACAACACATACATGAAGTGCTGGTGTGGCGCCGTAGGATTAAGCACTCAACCTGAAGATCAGTTTGAACAGCAAGGTCGGCAGTTCAAACTCATCAACTGCTCCTCAGAAACCCCACATAGGGTCACTATGAGTCGGAACGGACTCAATGGCACTTATTAACAACAAAACCCATGAAAGTACCGTTACATTAGTAAATAAGCTCTTGACTGCTAACTCGAAAGGTGGTAGGTAGTACCTCAGAAGAATGGCCTGCCAATCTGCTTCCAAAAGATCACAGCCTTGAAAACCTAATGGAATGCAGTTCTACTCTGTACACATGAGCCCAAAATGACTCCATGGCAAGTGGCTTGTTTTTCATTTTGTTATTAATGATGAAAAAGTATTCATCAGTAGTCACCAAATTGAAACTGTAACAAGATGCCACTTCACAGGACTGGAGTAAGAAAGGAAAAAAAACCAGAAACATTAAATGATGGAAAGATTGTGGGGCAAGTGAAAATCTTGCTGGGAGAGCAAAAAGCTGTGCACCCACTTTAGGGACCTGTTTGGTGCTCTCTCTTAAAGTGAAACCTGCATTCACCCTATGGCTCAGCAATTTCTCAAGACCCAAAAGAAAAAAATGTATGTTCACAGAAATACAAAGTTGCGACTTCTGACAAGATAGCAGACGAGGCAGACACAATACAGGGACCCTCTACAACAAAGATACCAGAGACCAAATGAAACAGACAGATGAAAATCCTAGAGCCCTTCCGAAGAAAAGTTAGAGAAGTGGACTGAGTGATTACTGGGAGAAGTTGAACTGGAACCTCATGAGAGAACCATCTTGTGAGCAGCTTTGGCAATAGAAGATGGCCGGGCAGAACAGATTCACACATGAAATTGGAAAGGTGTAATTCCTTCTTTACCCCCACACTCCCCTGGTGACCAGAGATGTGGTCAGCTCCTGCCCTCATCCACCACCACCCCTCCAGGAGTTTGGAGCCATGCTAGTGTGAGGCCAGCTGTGCCACTTCAGTGTGCCAATTCAGTGCCCCACTTTGGTTGGTGCCTGGATTCAGACAGGCTCAGCTCCAGACTTACAGAACCCGAAGAGCCACCAGAGGAGCATTTAACCAGTTACCCTGTCCCCGGCTTCCTTGTGGTCCTAACACTGAAACCAGCTCCATCAGGTGCTTCCACAAAGGACTTCCAGACTGAGAGCCCTAAATACACATACTACTGAGACCACTAGGCACTCCATCTAGGGCCAGGAACTCGGCTGACACACCCCTCACACACCTACCTCATGACCTCCTTGAGTTGCAGGAGCCCCCCTAGTTTTTTCCTCTCCAGGTCCAACAGCTACACTTTTTTTGCTTTGTTTTTTTCCATTTTCTTGTTTCATTGTTTTTATTATTTTTTTCCCCTCCTTACTTCTTCTCTTTCCATTCCCTTGAATTTTGTCCTTTCTATCTCTGCCGTTTTTCATTTCCCCTCTTCTCCCCACCACCCTTTGATATTTCTTTACTCTCCTGTGTGCTCTATTTTCATCTTCCCTCTCCCTGGTTTTTGTAAGTTTTTAATTTTTATTTTCTTTCAAATTTTTCCTTTTATATCCTCTCTTATTTTTCTCATTTGTAGCTCTATTGTCCTGTCTCTCTTTTGCCTTTATCATTATTTTCTTTTTCTGGTTGCTGCCTTTTAATTCTTCCCCCTTTTTTCCTTTCTTTTTTCATGGTTGGTTCCTTATTTGTTTATTCTCTTTTGTTTTCTTGTGTGTGTGTGCGTGTGTGTGTGTGTGTGGTTTCCTCTTTCCCACCCAACAGGAGCTAGCAGCCGTGCCCATACAGCTTAGCTACAACTGTACCCTCTGCAGCTTCACCCACTGAACAAAAGCCATACCAGCTCCTATACACCTGGTCAATGATAGACAGCAGCCAGTGCCAGGTAAACCCACCTCAAACTGCACCAACAGCAAACTAGACCTGTGTATACACGTCCATTCTCTAACTCCACTCACAGGAGACAGATGCTGAAAGCCTAAGAACACACCGACATATAATCATCAATTAAATACAAATATGACATCCTCACAATGCCCCCAAGACAACAGACTATTTTAACTCACACAAAGAAACCAGAGAATGGCTCAAACAAATGACCAAGATGCAGAGTTAGAAAGTGTTTCTGATAAAGAAAAGGTAATGAAACTAACTAGAAAAGATTTCAAAAGAATGATATTTAGGTACTGTCAAAGTATTGATAGAAAAATCAAGGAAAGAAGGAGAACACAGAAAAAATCCAGATTAATACTAAGATCTCAGAAATGGATAATATATTGAAACGACAACAGAGTAGATTCAAAGCAATGGAAGCCTGAATTAGTGAGCTTGAAGATAAATCTCTCAATTCTAGTATGCTAGAAGAACAATCAGAAAAAAGGATGTAAAATCCAAATATAGCCTAAGAGTTACATGGGACACTATGAAGAGGAATAACTTACTGATGATTGGCATTTTAGAACAGAAAAAGACAATAAAAAGCACAGAGAAAACTGTCAACAAGTTGTTGGAAGAAAATTTCCCTAACGTCATGAAAGATAAGAAGATACACACTCAAGAAGCTGAAAGAACACCAAGCATGATAGACCCCAAAATAAAATCACCCAGACATATCATAATCAAACATGCCAAAACCAAAGACAAGAATGAATCCTGAGATCAGCTTGGGAAAAATGAAAAGTTAGCTACAAAG